AGGTGACGGCGCCGCGGCGGCCCCAGCGCCGCAGCAGCGGGCACGGCAGCGACAACAGCAGCGTGCTGAGCGGCGAGCTCCCGCCCGCCATGGGCCGCACCGCCCTCTTCTACCACAGCGGCGGCAGCAGCGGCTACGAGAGCATGATCCGCGACAGCGAGGCCACCGGCAGCGCCTCCTCCGCCCCCGACTCCATGAGCGAGAGCGGGGCCGCCTCCCCGGGCGCCCGCTCCCGGAGCCTCAGGTCCCCCAAGAAGAGGGCCACAGGTGAGCACAGCGCTCCACAGCGTGCAAACCTGTGGGACGCGTGCAGATGGGCGCAGCTGGCAGAGCTCCCAGATACATACGGCCCTCGACAGGTTACAAGCATATGCGCAGACTTTCCCCGTATAGGTGTTCACGGCTTTCTGTAGTTTATAAAATCTGTGAGACACGTGAAGACGGGCCTGGCCTGCAGAGGTCTCAGATACACACGGCCCTGGATAGTTTGTGGGGCCTTTCCCTGTATAGATGCTGGAGACCCTTCGCAGTTTATAAATCTGTGAGACGTCGTAACAGGCTGTGGGTCTCATGGACCCGAGGTGCACACGGCCCTCGAGGGTTTACAGATGTGCTGGGCTTTTCAGTGTGCACACGTGCACAGCTGTCTGCAGCGTACAAGCGTGCTTCAGGCGCGCCCTGCTGAGCCCTCAGACCCCAGCTGCCTGAGGTTGGTCGCGTCCTCTTGGGAGCACCTTGCTTGGGATCACCCAGCTGGGGCCTTGCTGAGCCAAGAGTGGACGTGGCTTTGGGGTTCCCGGCTATGTGCACCCCCGTTGCCTGGAAGCCCGCAGACAGGGTGGCTCCTGCCCTGTGCCCAGACCCTCGGTTCTGGGGACCCTGGGTTGGGGACCTTGCCTCCCATGCTGTGTGAGTGGGAGAGGGGCAGGGTGCAAAGGCTAGGGTGGGGGTCGGGCGTCCCAGGACGTGGGCAGCAGGGAGAGTGTGAAGTGGGGAGTGGGGTTGCCCCAAAGGGAGGGCTGATGGGGGTCTGCTGCTGCACCAGGCAGCTGGTGTCTGGTGGGTGAGGCTGGGCAGGGCTGAGGGGGCGGAGTGCTGGGTGGATTGAGGGGGGATTGACCGAGACCCAGTGTCCTGGGGAGGGGAGGGCAGAAGTCACCCAGCTGGGGTGGGAAGCTCCCTGCCCTGTCTCTGGGCTTCTTCTCTGACCCGCTGGGGCTGTGTCTGTGGGTGCCGGGTTGAGGGCGCCTGGACTGGCTGTATGGTCTTCCCCGGCCTGGCTCCCCTCCCTGGGTGGGCCGTGCTCACGCGCTGGCTCTCTGCTCCAGGTCTGCAGCGACGGCGGCTGATCCCGGCCCCGCTGCCGGACGCCGCCGCCCTGGCCCGCAAGCCCAGCCTCCCGGGGCAGTGGGTGGGCCTGCCGCCCCCGCTGGCCGGCGCGCTGAAGGAGCCCTTCGAGATCAAGGTGTATGAGATCGACGACGTCCAGAGGCTGCAGCGGCACCGGGCGGCCTCGCGAGAGGACTCTGCCGAGGTCAGGGCCGGGGGGGCCGGTGGGGGTCCTGAGCCCGGGCCTTCTCGTGGTGGGAAGCCCTGGACTCAGGAGTGGGTGCCCTGGTAGGGCTTTGCCCAGCCTGCTGACCCCGTCTTTTCTTTGTTCACAGCCTTTCCCGGACGTGGGAAAGGTAGGGAAGGCCTGCCGCCCTGAGTGTGCTGCCCTGGCTCCCCTGGGCAGAGGGCCGGTGGCTGGAGAGGGCCCTAGGCCAGGGCTGCTGCCCCGGGGTCCCAGCGGGGAGGGGGCTACCTTTCAGAGCAGGCCTCGGGAGCACCTGGCCCCACTGGGGCCGAGCTGGGTGTTGGCTGGCAGGCTGGGTGCGGGGTTGGAGTGGGCGTGCCCTGAGTGCTTGTCTCCCCAGGGCCTGGCGAGCGTGGGTGCCCGGCCGAGGCTGGCGGGACGCAGGCTGCAGCGGCTGCGGGAGGTGCAGGCCTGGCGCCAGCACCTGTGTGAGGAGCTGGCGGAGACCCAGGGCCGGCTGATGGTGGAGCGGGGCCGCTGGCTGGAGCAGTGTGAGTGCTCCCCCACCCTCGCTGCGTGGCCCTGTGGCCCTATCTTCCCTGAGCCCCCGCTGCACTGTGCGGCCCTTGGCGAGGACAGGAGCCGGGCCCAGCAGAGGGTGAGGGGCGGGCCAGTGCTCCCCAAGCCGGGCCTGACCCGTGTCCACTGCCCCCCTAGTCGAGGTGGACCCGGAGCTGGAGCCGGAGTCGGCCGAGTACCTGGCGGCCCTGGAGCGTGCCACGGCGGCCCTGGAGCAGTGCGTCAACCTGTGCAAGGCCCACGTCATGATGGTTACCTGCTTTGATGTCAGCATCGCTGCCTCTGCTGCCGTCCGGGGGCCGCAGGAGGTGGACGTCTGAGGCTGCCGTCCGGGGGATGTAGGAGGTGGACGTCTGAGGCTGCCGTC